TGAATTTAGATAATTCTGTGAGACTTCAACTGTAGTAGTGGGTACGTAGGCAGCGTTGCCAAGCCTAGAAGATTCTACATCAGGTACGAACTTATGATCAGTCAAAAAGACCGCTTCAGACTCGCTGTCATAATCGGTTGTGTTTTTCTGACCTAGTATCTGTAATAGTACTGCTCTCATTCCCTCTGCAGCGGTTCGATGCCTATCACACTGTTTCGCTGCATATTGTATACGCCTTCGGATAAGGTTTAGTTTATTTTCTTTTGTTGCTTCTTCCTTAGAATTAAGCCCCGATGCGTTATGCGACGACAGTGGTGATTCAGAATCTCCTGTATGCTCACAAAATCTATTTGAATCTGTCGAATCTACTTCATGATCACCATTGAAAATTTCATTGTCCGTTTCTTTCTCCAGTACCAATGTAAAGTTTTGAATCCAGACTAGGGTATCGACTAAATTCTTAGCCGCCCCTTGAATTTCCTGGACGAATTCAGCACCTTCACTCCTGCAAATGTCTTCCCTATTTATGGCTGACTTGATAAACTTGGAGAGTTTGCGTAGCGCAGCGCCGAATCTCAAAGTGGTGGCCATGATGTTCTTATATTGTATGCTATTTTGCATCACCCCTGCGTCCACACTCTCTTGCCCACCACCAATTGCATCGTTTGTACTAGACATTGACACGTCTTTGGGAAGTTCGGAACAGAGCGTATCCACTGCTTCCTGGATAAATGAAAGCACGTAATCTTTTGAGTTAGAGGGCGTTTTGGTTTGCTCAGCATCGTGTTCCTCAGCAGGCACTCCCTCGTTAGAATGGTTCCTATACTGTAGTCTACGCATGCGTTCTTCTCTAAATAGTGCTACGTCCTCTCGTAATAAAGATGGAAGTGACGGCTCATTGGTTTGTGCACCGTTAGATGCAGCCGACGGACCGTCCGTACAAATATAACGCTCCCTTTCATAGTAACCAACCACATCGACGGCGTCAGCGATGGGGGGCTGATACGGTACGAGCGCGGCACATAGAATGTCTTTGAGGAGGACTGTGTCCAGTTCAAACTCAGAGGCTGGACGACCGGGCTTGGATTTGTCAAACTGCGCGGGCTCTGTAGCACCCGCCCCAGAGTCACCTGGGAGAGGCGGAAGCTCTTGCATAGCCTTCGACCATTTTTCAAAAGCACTTTGAATAAACATCTCTACCAACTCTTTGTCTCTGTCACGTTGCTGAGAGACCCAAACCGCCTGCTCATGCAGTCGCTGTTGGAGTGTGGTGAAGAGCACGCCCGTTTCCTCCACAAGGGGGGTGCCGTCGCTACGTTCGTAGCTTGCCATATTCACCCAGTTTGGTTTGACCCCCGATAGAATCATTTCTTTCGGTTTCACCATCTCACACAACGAAGCGACAGACTGCAGGAGTCCAAAGGCAGCTTCCTCAGATTCTCGCAACACCGTACGCACCCGATCCTCGGCCTCCACTAGTGTCTGCATCCACTGATCAAATATGCCAGATTTGTTGTCCAAGCCAAGACCCTTGAGATCAAGATGAGCCTGCGCATCGGATGTTGTGTAAGCATCATGCGTCATTCGTACCAGTCTGCTTGTTTCATCAAGAGGGATTTCATGAGTAGGGCGGGGTTCACTATCTGCCTCTTCAATCATAACATCACTAGAAGCAGCTTCGTTGCCAAAATCCAGCGGATAGTTTGGTCGGATCGCGGAGTTATGATAATCCGCACTCATGTCGAGTGAGTAATTGCTAGCCACCCCGTGAGCGTCACGAGCACGAAAAATCGGATAAATTTCTGACATTTCTGTCCAGAACGCGATCCATATCCTAAAGTCCCTCGCCCGATCCGTCGCAAAAATCATAAGGTTGCGTTGGTCGCGACCTGAGTTGATGCTTTCGGAAATCCCTTCAACACCAAAATAGTAATACCCGCTTCGGATGTTTTCAAGAAGAAAATTTCGCGGTACAAAGCTTCCACGAACCGGCGAGACACGACTACGCCATCTTATTCTCTGGTCATGAATATAGAACTGCGTCCTAGGTCCCCCACAACTTTTCTCCTTGTGTTTGTGCTTGTGCGAAAAGGCGAAAAGCACCCGAACACGATCGAAATGCATTTCCTTTATCAACCGTCCTGCACTGCTCCAGGTCGAGTAGACAAACAACCGTTGGTTTTCACAGATTACCCACTGCATCCCTTTGGAACTCTTTTTACCCGGTCCAGTTTTGCTGGTTACGTACCACAGCTCACCCTCAATTTGGTGAGCCCCCTCCGACACATGAGAAGCCCTCATCCCTGGAAGAGAGCCCGAAGGCGTTGCGAGCTGTATGAACGTTGGGCGCGGCTCTGGCGAGTTTATGCGACCACTTTGCGCCGTGGAGGTTCCGATGTCGTGGACATTCTCAAGATCGCCTTCTCGCGACGGAAATATCGAGAATATGCTTAGATTTGGGCGCGATGTGGCGCCAGGACGCACATTTCTCTTTTGGTGCAGTGCTCCCTTGGTGAGGTTGCGTAGCACAGAAGGTGGATTATGCTTTGTTTCAACAAAACCAATGTGAGCGCGACCCCGATGGGGACTCGTTGAGGGGCTCGGGTAGTTGGTTAATTTACCCTTATGGCTTACCATGACAATAAGGGTTTACGTCTACGCTTATATGCAAATATATAGATAAATATGAATATAGTGTTCAGTATATACTACACAATTCGATGAATGCTACAGGAAAATGAGTATTCTATTTTTGTTTCACCTAAACAAAATGTTTGTCGATTTAAAATATTGAACGACGCGTTTTTTTATTTGGCTTCTAGTAGTGTCATATATATATGAACAGCCCCTTTTAATTTTTTTTTGGAAGTAATGATGTTGAGAAACTCGTTCTTTACACGCTAATATAAAGGGGGAAGTCTGAAAACAGCGATGTATATGAGGCCAATCTTGCACGATTATATTATCAAAAAAAAACTAATGGTAAAAATAAGAGTGTTATATGTAGTGAGTTTATGACGAAAGTGATGGACGGTTATAAAGTTACTAGTGTTAAGCAAGTACTAAACAATGTTTTAAAAATTTAATCTAATAAATAGGTATATTTACCTTCGGCAATTTAACATAAACAACCGCACAAAACGTCTCTAATGACTTGTAGGTACCTAGTTGAAAGTGATAGAGCTAAAAATCTCAACCTTTTTTTTTAAGCAACTTAATGTTGTTCGGAGACAAAACTAGCTTTTACACCTAGAAAGATGTATTGTAAGCTGTATCCCTAGAAGGTAGGACTAATACAAAATACGTGGTCACGCCTTTTCTTGATGAAACTTTGAAGAATAAGCACACATAAGAACGAAGAATTGAGTGCCCTATTTAGCCAACATCCTCGTTTTTTAATATCAACAAGGAGTAAAGTAGCAAATGCAACCCCTTAATACAGAGGAGGAGATGAATCATATTATTTTTTTTGTTAAAAATTAAAAATAAATATATAAACAAGCCTCAAAATAGGCATTGTAACATAGAGCGAATGAAGGCACTCCCATATTGGGTGCGATCGGCCCCACTTTCGGATGGGAAGATCATTTTCAATCCAAGAGGATTCCTTCGATTCATCTTCCAAGCATTTCAACAACATGGTGCTTATGTGACTCATGCGTTTTATTCATCCGGGTGCCATGCGCCCTTCACTGCCTTACCACCACGGATACGGCCTGTGCGGCGAGCGGCGATGAGGCCGACCTTCTGCCCTGGCGGGGCGTGGCGGGAGACGGTGGAAGGGTGACCGATGTGCTGATGGTTACCACCACCATGCGGGTGCTCCACGGGGTTACGGGCCACACCACGCACCTTCGGCCAGCAGTTGCGCTTACCGCGGAAGCGGTAGAAGGAGTTACCGGCCTTCAGCACGGGCTTCTCAATACGGCCACCGCCG